TTCTATTTGGCATCTCTGCTGTCCATCACCTGTGTAACCAATTCCTTGCATTAAAATCTCCCTGACACATCCAATATTTGAATTGGTTTTTGTTTCTCTAATTAGAAATCAGTTGAGACTTTTTAAAGAATGTTGAATTCTCAATCCTAAGCTAAATTTGTTGTATACTAAGTCAGAGAAATAGGAATGGTAGCAGGAGATATGACTGGGACCTGAGAGAATTCTGATTCTCTGAGCCCCTCCCAAGCACCTAATATACTCTCTGAGGAAAGAGACAATTATTCTCAATATAAAATGCAACTGGCATGCATCCTGACGACAGAAGAAAGTTTTTATGTCTCTTCTCCCCCAAACTGTTGATTTGAAAGCTCAAGGGCAAAATAATTTTTACTCTCAAGATGTTATCTGTACATTTTAGTTTCTCTTCCAAGTAGAACTTATCATTACCATTATCCTGTTCTCTTTCCACACTGAATGTTTATTGTATACACTGGAGGTGAATAAACATCTTTTAGGCTTAGGTTGCTGGTCCATCTTTACTTGCAGAAGAGTTTACCTCAACTAGGTGTGCTGGTCTAGGAGGTGAATGCAGTAAACAGATGAGATTTAGATTGTCTCTCCATAGGAAGCAGGTGAGTATATCTGGATTATTAGTGAAATTTTGTAATTTAAGATATGGGGAATACAGTGTGTATGAAAATAGGACAGCCAGAAAAAGGTAGTAAACATTTGTGAGGTTTTTTTTTTTTACATCTATTTCTTATATTTATTAATTTTTTCCCTGACAATAACAACCTGATTTTTCTTTGAGATTACCCCTTTCTCACCCTCAGCCCATTCAATTTGTGTGGTATTAACACTACTTCTGCCTATAGCGATAGGCATTTGATTCAGGCCAGGCCAATCAGAACACTGCACCTCCTTGGCCAAAATGTTCAGGGATGGCCACACACCCTAATTAAAGCCTGTGAGACACACAGGTCTTTGAAAGGAAAACATTCACTCTATTTATGCTGAACATGGACTTATGAGGATGTTAAATCTGGAGCTTGTCAATCACTTTGCCAATATAAGAGAAGGGCATGCCCAAGGATGGATACAAGACACAGGGAAACGAAAGTGAGAGACATAAAAGAACCAATTCTTGATGACATTGTTGAGCTGCTGTATACCGCCATGCCTAAACCCAGTATCTCCCAGAAGTTTTAGTTATGTTAAGCAGTACATTCTTTTTTCTAAGCCTATTGGAGACATGCTTTCTTGCCATCCTTTCTCGTATCCTTCTATCCTCTTTTTGCTGAAAGAACCCCCAAAGAAATTTCTATATATGTATGCCATATTTTATATGTTATTGTCTCTTTCCCCACTTCCTCCTTCCCTTTTGCTGAAAGAATCCTAAGTATTATAGAAAGCATTTGTATATTCTTGCACATCCTAGAGCTGAAGACGACTTAAATTTGATAAAAGGTAACTTAAGATGCTATTTATGTAAACAAACAGAAGCTCTCTATTGATATTATTGCATGCAGATCAGCATTGTGGTTTTAAAAACCTAAGCAACAGTGTTTTGATTTTAAAAATCTAAGGTCAATATGTTTTCTTAATCCTCATGGTACAAGGTTTTAGTTATTTTATTGCTGCCAATGAAGCTGATCCTAGGACACTCCTGGTACTTTATGATATTTGCCTCTGTGTCCCCACCCAAATCTCATCTCAAATAGTAATCTCCACGTGTTAAGAGGGACCTGGTGGGAGGTGATTGGATCACGGGGGTGGTTCCCCCATGCTGTTCTTGTGATAGTGAGGGAGTTCACATGAGATCTGATGGTTTTAAAATGGCAGTTTCCACTGTGCACTTTCGCTCCTGCAGTCATGTAAGACATATCTGCTTCTCCATTTGCCTTCCACCATGATTGAGAGTTTCCTGAGGCCACCACAGCCATACAGAACTGTGAGTTAATTCAGTCTCTTTTCTTTATAAATTACCCAGTCTCAGGTAGTATCTTTATAGCAGCATGAGAACAGGAATTTAGGAAGGATATTAGAAGCTGTTACACTGTCATTTACAGATCACAAAAGTTCATTAATATATACCCAAGGGAGTATATTACTCAAAGTATTGGTTTCCTTCTAAAATAAAATTTCTTTATTTTAGAAAGGATGCTAGTGAGCCTTTTTTGGCTAATTTTCTACTTAGTTTTGGAAGAAAATCTAACGCAGGGTTTTAGAGTTGAAAGGGAATATAGCATTATTTCAGCCCCAAACCCTCTTTTTTTGGGTGCGAAAACAGTCACAGAAATGTCAAAGAGAAATTGTGGATAAAATGATTAACAATTTGAACAGCCTTTGGCAACTAAAGGGTGGGAAGGAGCTGAGTTGTTCTCTCTTTTGTACTTACCACTCTCAGGTCTACTTCCATGGCTACACAACGGGCTTCATAGATAATTTTGTAATTACACATTTTTCTCTTAATCTGTATGTATATTATTCATTTTTTTAAAATGTGGATTTTGTTTATTTCCTATCTGACCTTCCAGGCTCATTGGAACGGGGACTATATAAAAATGTCAATTTCAGGCCGGGCCTGATGGCTCATGCCTGTAATCCCAGCACTTTGGGAGGCTGACGCGGGCAGATCACGAGGTCAGGAGATCGAGACCATCCTGGCTAACACAGTGAAACCCCGTCTCTACTAAAAATACAAAAAATTAGCTGGGTATGGTGGCAGGTGCCTGTAGTCCCAGCTACTCGGGAGGCTGAGGCAGGAGAATGGCATGAAACCGGGAGGTGGAGCTTGCAGTGAGCAGAGATCGCACCACTGCACTCCAGCCTGGGTGACAGAGCGAGACTCCGTCTCAAAAAAAAAAAATTCAATTTCATTATTGGTTTATTAACAATGCTAATATAAAAGATAATGTCACATACTTTTTTAGTAGCGGGGAAAGGGACAATGAGAGCTTAACAACATATTTAGACAGCAGTGCAGGAGAATTTGGAATGGTTCTTCTTGCCTCCTCTAAAGGCCTATCTTACTCTCAACCTCGACTCTCAAGAAGGACTGTGTAAATATGTCCATTCGGGCTGTATTTACCTAGCCTGTGTTCACTAGCCTGGTCTGACCAAACGCCACACAGCAGGCCAGGCAAATTTCCACAGTGCCTGAGAATTAGTCTGTATTTCCCCAGTATTTAGTAGATGCCATGCATATAGAATGTTAATACAAACTTTTTAAGTGAACTAAAGAACACTGAGGCAAGTCAACATTTCACTCGTTTAGAAGCTTCCTAGAGACTAAACTTGCCTTTAAGTACCCATTATTATGAATAGTTTTCAGAACTTTGCATAATGAAGCAACAATATTGTTGATGACTGAAAGTATGTTTCATTAACTACTTCTGAATTTTTTTTTTTTTTGAGACGGAGTCTCACTGTGTCGCCAGGCTGGAGTGCAGTGGCGCAATCTGGGCTCACTGCAACCTCTGCCTCCCAAGTTCAAGTGATTCTCCTGCCTCAGCCTCCCAAGGAGCTGGGACTGCAGGTGCCCACCAACACACCCGGCTAATGTTTTGTATTTTTAGTAGAGATGAGGTTTCACCATGTTGGCCAGGATGGTCTCCATCTCTTGACCTCGTTATCCACCTGACTCGGCCTCCCAAAATGCTAGGATTACAGGCATGAGCCACCACGCCCGGCCTACTTCTGAATTTTTTAAAACAGTTTTTTACACATGAAATTATACGCAATACAACATACTTGTTTTACAAGTTGAAATCTTTACCGTTATGGTACGGTTACAGTAATGCAGGTAATATTAGTGCATTCACTTAGAGCAGAGTTATCTATCTTCATAGGGCTTAACACAAAGCCAAGACCGAGTTACTTGCTTAAACTGCTTTCTAGTCTTTGACTTAAAACAAAAAAGAAAAATTACTTCTACCTCCTCTCTATGTCAGGATGATAAACAATGCCAACAATTAAGTGGTCTGGTATTTCTATAAATGGCAGATTGTATTCCAATAGCTCTTAAGTTGTAAATCTTAAGGTTTTAGTTAAATATGTCTATCAAATTGTTGTTATCTCTGCTTTCAGGAACATTATGTCATCTTTGGTAATAGGCTGCTAACAAACAGAAACTACAGACTATACCATGTTTTCCCAAAGAATCCTGTATTTTAATGAATAGCTGAATAAATAGACATTAATTATGAAATTCACATTAAGATAGAAGAAAATCCAAACATTCTGATTGCTTTATCTCTTAAATTTGATAACTACTACAAAACATACTATTTATGTTAGGGTAAAAATAAGCCAACTCACAGGAGTATAACTGGGAAGTGCTGGCAGATATATACAGTAACATGGAGGAGTCATACAATAAAAGCGTTTATATGTACATCTTTTTTTTTTCTTTTTGTATGGAGAAATGCTGTCTTATAAAATGGGAAAACACACAGTAGACTACATGCAACAAGGACCAATACAATGTGCACAGCAGAAGAATCAAATAAGACACAAGAACTATGGGTTTAAAAAAGAATTTGGGAGCAGGAAAAAAAACAAGGATTGAAACCTGGAATGCTTTCTTATTGAGGTTTCAGAATATAAATTTGTCTAACAAGCCTCTTGATAGTTTTCAAAAGTTCCCACTCAACCACCTATGGTTTAAGTGTAGAGCTAAAAATAAACCATCATATTATACAAAACTTTGTATATTAGCATACAAAAGGTAGCAATTTACTTTTTGTATAAAATATAACCTTTTGATAGTATATTTATTTCACATATGTATAAATATAACCCAAAGAATATGTTTTAAGTATTTCTACCAAAATATTCTTTACAAAAGTTTACAAAAAAAGTAATTTATTTACATTTACAGCCTAGCACAGGAAAGATTCTGGGCCAGTGATGTTGGTATTGTAAAGAAGGAGAGTGCTTCTAGACATTTTAAAGACTGGGAGAGAGCTTTGCAGAATTTTCAAAGTATGTTCTTTTTCTTTGAACAGATATTGAAGACTTGGTTATTAAATAACTTCAGCTAAATTACATTTGATATTTGAATATGTGAGCGTATAACTGAAAGGGCTGAAGATAACCTTTGCTCCTCTGTAATTAGGAAAATGATAGTGATATTTTGCATTCATTCCAAATCAGCACACATCTTCCCCATTTTACAGCTGATCTGTATGTGGGCACTGAGGTTAAATGACTCAACAAAAACTCTTTGATATAGTGCTCAGCCCTGAGGGACAAAACCTGGATATGAAGAGTCCAACTAGCATGTGGCAATGATTCATCACATCAGGGACAGAAGAACGAACGGAACGCTCCTAACAGACCACATTCCATTTCGCTGTTCACCCAAATCCAAATAATATGTCCAATGAAGGACAAATTGTTTTCCCTCTTGATTATGTTTTCCTTCAAATTCCGTGAAATAAATTTGTACACACTGGTACTTGCCTCCCCTGGTTCTTATCTCCAACCAAAACATGATACTTTCTAATCTCGGTTTTAATCTCCAAACTTCCTTTCCTTGTAAGCCAGCCTCAGTCATCAAAATGAGTAGGGAGGATGAGGCTCAATTTTACTTAGCTTGGGAACAAACCAGCAGGCATCAATCATAATAAGAAACATCCCAGGTTATTTGTAGCCAAATAAATCTCATTTATAGCAATGTCCAGTGGTTTTTTTTAAAAAAAGTTAAATCCAGTGCAGAGAGGTGTGCACCAATATTTCAGTATGATTAGGACAAGCCTTTGTTATATCTAAAATTTCATTTGGAATGGATTCAGATGTTGGTTGTGGAAGCCAAAATCAAATTGTACAGCTCTATATTTTTGTTTAATCACTAAACACAGCATCTCACTGAAGTAGAGGATTGTGGGAAAATTGTAAAAGTGAGGAGTGAATCTGGGGAAGAAATTCTGTAATCCACTAGATGTTTTCTAGGTTCTCTGACTTTTTCTTAATTAGCACACTGTTTGGTTACTCCAAACAAACCTATAATATTTCAATCTATCCTGCAAGCTTCGGGAAAATTAAATGAAAAGACACAATGGAAAGATTAAACCATACCTATCTATTAGAGCAAATTAAGGAGTTTGTTGCTTGGAACTAGTACCTCCTCATGACATGGGGTTTAAATAAACTACAAGTTCTATTACCTCTTTTTTTTTCCAGGGAAAAAGGAAGTTGGTTGGGAAGGCTATTTTACACAATTAATTACACATTGACACCACAGTTCTGTTTGGATAAATTGGATACTGTGTCCTGGAGTTTAGACAGGGAAAAGTGATCCCAATGTTTTACTTTCGGGTGTAAGATTTAAAACAAGAATTTGGACCAACATGTTCATCACTGCAGTTACTTTCTGCTTTCCATTTTTAAGCATGTCATCTTCACGTAGTCTACCTGAACATCAACAGTTCAGCCTCTACAGAGTTTCTGTAAAATACTGCCTTTTAGTGCTTGGAGTTTGGAAATTGTTTCCCCTTTCTTCTTCAGGAATTGTTCCCCAAGATTTCATCAAGATTGATGTCTTTCATCCAGTCATCATTACCAGGCTCTGTCTTCAATAAAGAATCAATGAAATCAGCATCGCTGTTTAGGGCAGGGCCCATGTTATCAGTTTGTTGGCTGAGGAAGTCAAAAGCTAAGTCACTGCTGTGGTCAGTTCCTTGAAAAGCCCTGGAACTTTGGTTGGGTGAAGGAAAATTGCTGGGCGTCAGGGATGGCGGCTGGTTGATGCCCGTCCTCGATTGATTCAACCCTGTTCCTGACTGATTCATATTAGGCAAAATCTGTGTGCTTAGCTGATTGGGTCTGAGATTCAGACCCCTGAGGGGACCCATGGTTTGTCCATTTAGTGTTTGGCTCATTTGGTTCATGGGTCTCATTTGCACTGCTGGTGTTAACTGGTTAGGAGGAGCCACTGCCCTCTGGGAAAATTGCTGGCTACCTACTGCCTGTTGCAATGGCTGATTTGGGGTATAGGCTGCAGGTGTCCCTGTGGGGAAGCGGACTCCTGCAGATGTCAGGGCTTCTTGCTGTTTGGTTGTTGCTTCTTGAGAGGCCCAGTTTGGTGCACTTGTGTTGGATGTGATCATTACGTTTGATGTTCTCTGTGGTGGCATGCTTGCCATACTATGGGTTAAATTTGGTCTCAGTTGTTGTGAATTGCCAACAGATCCAGCTCCAAAAGTGGCTACATTGTTATTATTACCTGGCCCTAAGGTAGGTGGCCGTGGCATCATAGGGTTGTTTTGATTTGCTATCAATTGCTTTGGGTTTCTCTGTTGGGTCAATTGATTCATTCCTGAAGTGACACTGTATGTGGTAGGTTGATTACAAGGCAGACTTCCATACATCCCTATGTTCTGAACTGCTGTAGATAATGATGGCATTCTTGTCCCATGAGAAGTAGACAGGAGGCTGGAATTGGAAGTTAAAATGGTGTGTGTTGAAACTGGGTTTGCCAAAGCCTGGTTAGAGTTTAAGCTTATTGTGGATGAGCCACCTGAGAAAAAGAAGAGAATTTTATTAGTTCATAACAGTATGTTATCTCCTGTGTAATTGCACTTTTCAATAACTCATTAATATGAAACTGCTTTCAGGTGTAAGACAATTTAGGCGAAATAATCATCAAATAATTATATAAAAGGAACAAGACAGCTTTTGGGAGGAAGGAGCACCCGAGGTCACTCTTTGGTTCACAAGTTTACACATTACAAAAAGAAGACTAAAATAGAATAGTTCTATTTGGTAGGTTTTATTTTATTCCTCTTCTGAAGTCACTGAAGGGAGGTAATGGTCAATCTTCCATTTTGAATTAGCTTTACCATGTTCCAAGTCCAGAGACTATAGTCTTGATTAGTCAGCTCTCATGAAATCCATGTTACTGTTTACCCCAGGTCCAAATGAGAAAGTATGGATGAATGCTACACACGGTCCTAGATCAATATTCCCAAACTATGGCCTTGAAAATCACGTCCCATTCTTTGAATCATCCCCATTCAAGAAGCTGCCCTAGTGGCTTCCCAGTGTTCAAAGGCTAAATCTCCATCTCCTTTTTTTTTTTTTTTTTTTTTTTTTTTTTTGAGATGGAGTCTCACTGTTGCCCAGGCTGGAGTGCAGTGGCACGATCTTGGTTCACTGCAAGCTCCGACTCCCAGGCTCACGCCATTCTCCTGCCTCAGCCTCCCAAGTAGCTGGGACTATAGGCGCCTGCCACCACGCCCGGCTAATTTTTTTGTATTTTTAGTAGAGACGGGGTTTCACCATGTTAGCCAGGATGGTCTCGATCTCCTGACCTCGTGATTCGCCCACCTCGGCCTCCCAAAGTGCTGGGATTACAGGCATGAGCCACTGGGCCTGGCCCAAATCTCCATCTCTTTAAACATCTGGAATTCAATGTTCTAGAAATTATCTCCATAAAGAAAGTCTTCAGTTCCAAGAAGTGTAGTTACTATTGAATTGTTACCAACGCACTGTGAGCCACCTTTGCTTATGGTATTTCCCTTCCTCACTGAGCCCTACCTTTTCCTCAAGGCTCAGGCTAAGGCTGAAGCTCTCTATTAAGCTTTCTTTTATCTTCCAGTCTCCTCTCTCCAGCAGTATTTGCCCTTTGAATCTTTCATTTAACACTTAGTATTGGGCAATCCGTGGAGCCTCAAAGTGCCCGCCAGTTAAATTGATGCCTGTCAATAACTGATAGGATACTGACAGAGACCCAGGAGGCAGACAAGGGTCTCCCCCATGCCTTCAAACCTAACACAGCCTGAAGGCTGAAAAACTGGACTGCTGGTCCCGGATGAAGTCTGTTTCCGACTGACTCTTTCTGAATAATGCCCACCTGTGCACTGGGAGGACAGGGTGGAGCCTCGGGAAGTTCACGCCATTTGCAGCAGGGAGGAGCCTGGCCTCTCCTGTTCCTGTGTGGTGACCTGGAGTTCAATCTGTGAGGTGGGAAACCTGCTAGCAGGACTCTCTCTCACTTTGCTGAGAGTTATTTTTCCTTTTTGCCCAATAAATTCCATTTTTCCTCATCCTTCTATGTGTCCACGAGCCTCATCTTTCCTGGCCGTGTGATGAGAACCTGGTTTCAGCTGAACTAAGGAGAAAGTTCTGCAACAATATGGAACAAGTGCTTAAGCCACAGGCTGTGTAATAAGAGGCTCCACACAACAGATAGTGACTAATCAACATATTGAAATCTTCTTAACTTCTGGAGGGTAAAGTCATCTTGAGGAAACATTTTTGGAGGCAAAGATTATCAGAGAGACCCAGAGAGTCAGAGATTCTGAGAAATACAGAACTTAACACACAAAAGAATATCACAATATCAGTGGATGGGGAGAGCATGTCTGCAGTTGTAAATGTGGGTTATCCCCTGCTGCTTAAGAATACCTAGGTGGTATACATCCTGAAAGACTGAGGGCCAAATGAACACATTAGCCTTGCTATTATTTACAAATATGCCCCCAACTAGACTACACACCCTTTGAAGGCAAGAACAGTCTCTTGTATCTCCTTGTATCTGTGTAGCGCATTGTGTAGTGGGCAATGTTTGATGAAGAGAGATAACAGCCAGGTAGGAGACACTTGAACAATAAGGGAGATGATATACAATGCCAATAAGATTAAGCAATATCATCTTTGTGGGTGAAGATGTGGAGGTGGATGACAGTGATATTGATGATCCTGATCCTGTGCAGTCCTAGGCTAATGTGGGTATGTTTGTGCTTGTGTCTTAGTTTAAAAAATAAAAACAAAAACATAAAATTTAAAAAAATTTTTAAGTAAAAGAAGCCAGGCGCAGAATCATATGTTCTCATTCATATGTGTAAGCTAAATAAGTTGCTCTCACAGAAGTAGAGAGTAGAATTGTGGTTTCTAGAGGTGGGGAGGATGTGGGGAGAAAAAGTAGAGAGAAGATGGTTAATAGATACAAAATTACAGCTAGATAGGAGGAATAAGTCCTGGTGTTCTATAGTACTCTAGGATGACTATAGTTAAGGATAATTTATACTATGTTTTCAAATACCGAGAAGAGGATTTTGAATGTTCCCAACACAAAGAAATGATAAATGTTTGATGTGATGGTTATGGTAACTACCCTGATCTGATCGTTATACACTATTTACATACATCAAAATATCCTACTGTACCCCATACATATGAACAATTATATGTCAATTAAAAATAATTTTAAAAATTGTAAGAAAATAGAAAAAAGCTTCTAGATTAAGGACATGGAGAAAAGAATAATTTTGTATAGCTGTACAACGTGATTGTGTTTTAAGCTGTGTTATCACAAAAGTCAAAAGTTTAAACAATTTAAAAGTTGTAAAGCAAAGCAAAAAAATTAATGTAAAAGTTAATTTATTATTAAAGAAAGAAATTTTAAAAAATAAGTTTAGTGAAGTCTAAGTGTACAGTGTTTATAAGGTCCACAGTAGTGTACAGTGATATCCTAGGTCTTTGCATTCACGTGCCACTCACTCACTGACACCCAGTGCAACTTCCAGTCTTGCAAGCTCCATTCGTGCTAAGGGCCCTATACAAATGTACCAGTTTGTATCTTTTTAATTATATTTTACTGTACCTTTTCTATGTTTAGATACACACACACTTACCATTGTGTTAAAACTGCCTATAGTAGTCATCACAGTAACAAGCTGTATAGGTTTGTAGACTGGGAGCAATCAGCTATATCATATAGCCTAGGTATGTAGTGGGCTAGACTATCTAGGTCTGTATAAGTACACTCTACGATGTTTGCACAACAAAATTACCTAACAATGCAATTCTCAGAACATACCCCATCATTAAGAACACATGACTGGAAACCACATCTTATCTTTCAGCCTCCTTGAGAACAATCAACTAGAGAATCCTGTTTTTGCCCTGAGGCAAAGTAATCTTAGAGTGTGGAAAACATACATCCCGTTCCTAATGTTATTTGCTGTTTTTAGAGACAGTGTCTCAATATGTTGCCCAGGCTGGCCTCGAACTTTTGGGATCAAGCAATCCTCCCACCTCAGCCTTCAGAATAGCTGGGACTACAGGCATGTGCTACTGAGCCCAGCCCCATTCTCAATTTTAGTTGAAAGAGGCAACCTGTTGTATCTGAGGGGGTTTAAATAAGTCAGGACAACATATTTAAAAGTACACTTAACAGTACCAGGAAATATTAATAAAATAGAGGTGTTCACAGCCTTTCTTTCTTTAGGGAATCTTCTTTGTGGCTTCCTGGACAGATGAAGGTAACAGGTAAGGCAGAGAGAACTTAGGAAACCCAAGAGTATAAGCTTAACTTACATTAGAAAGTGCAGAGAGTTTTAGACAGTTTGGGGCAGAAGTGTATTGAAGAGATACTAAATAGGAGAAGGCAGAGCAATATAGGCTGGGTTTGGGAAAGGTTCTTTTGGAGTTTAATGAATGGGAGGAGAGAGAATTTAGGGGACTTTTATACTTACCATTTATTTTATACTGAGAGAGCTATTAAGAAGATTTGCTTTGTGATTTAAATAGAGTTCACCTTTGGTGTTTTTGAGAGACTCTGTGAAAACTTAATTTGCTTTTCAAGTATTCCTTGCTGGCGGGACGTTTGTCTTTGAAGGAGAAACCTTGGAGATGGGCTCAATGGTGGATACAAAATGACTAGAATTTGTGAAAGTTACACATGTGCCTGACTAAGAGGGAGAAATGTCTGCTTACCTTCCACTACCTGGGTTAAGGTATATCTTTGGGAGGAGAGTGATTGAACCTAACAGAAAAATATTTAGCTCTTTTGAGTTCTTGGAGGTAGTCCAGAGAGTGGTGAAATATGTGAGTACAGGGCAAGACTGATAAAAAAAAAAAAAAACTGATGAAAGGACTAAAAAATAATTGTGTAGTCTTGGTATGAAAGCCAAATGGGAGTTAGAAATTCTAAGAAAGATATTACAATCATATATGAGTTACAGGGATAATTGAAAATTGAATTTTTTTTCCTTTCACAGCTATAACTTTTATGAATTTTTAAGGACACTTACCAGAATACTGAGCAGTTGGTTGCATATTGCCCACATTTCTTCTTTGGTCTTTATAATCCGGAGGTGGCCTTGACAAATGTCGGTTTATCTGATCTTGTGGAGCAATTTTCTCCTTGAGAAAAGATATGAAAACATGTTACATTGCATCATTCCCTTTTCACTTGTGAAAATGCATGCAAAATTTTGTAAAATTTCAGAAAAGTAATATAGGAACAATTTTGCAATCATGGGTTACAAATCATGACCTTAGTTTGTAGTCTTAATTCAGAGACAAATCTTTTCAATTTCAATAAACTTCCTGTATGGAAGTATAATTTCTACTTCTCCATGACACTCAACGTGTGTTTTGGTTCTAGTAACGTCTTATTTTCTTTATTTTTCAATTCAATTTCAATGAGAACTAAATTTCTGTGATTTTTCAAGATGCTAATTTCTAATTTTATGTGGTAGCACACCTCATATGCTTTGGTAGGTACCTATATATAATTCTGGTCCCACACAGTGGGGAAAGCACAGGAGGTAGGGTTTTCAGATAAAATACAGAACACCTGGGCATTCTGTATTCTTATTTGCTTTGTTTGTTTGTTTGAGATGGAGTCTTGCTCAGTCGCCCAGACTGGAGTGCAGTGGCACGATCTCAGATCACTGCAAACTCTGCCTCCCAGATTCAAGCGATTTTCCTCCCCCTCGAGCCCTCAGGATTACAGGTGCCCACCACCACGCCCAGCTAATTTTTATATATTTTTTAGTAGAGATGGGGTTTTACCATGTTGGCCAGGCTGGTCTCGAACTCCTGACCTCGTGATCCACCCACGTCAGCCTCCCAAAGTGCTGGGATTACAGGCATGAGCCATCGTGCCCAACCCTGTATTCTTATTTGTCAAATCTGATAACCCCAGGTAGGAGGAGATGTCAGGAGACACCAACAGGTACCGATATAGGCACTATATGAATTTTATCTCTTTTTTACCTCCTTATAAAAAATTCTTAAAAGTAGGCATGATTATTTCCACCTAAAAAATAAGGCAATGGAAGACTTGTTAGGCTAAGTAACTTGCTGAAGATCACACAGTGGTAGAACTGAGACCAAATCCTGAGTCCCAAACTCAGGCTCTTTCCTGACATACAATACCAGGCCCCTTGCTACTCTGTTTCTCAGCTCCCCATTCTAAAAGCACAGGTTTGCCGCCCTCCCTTCATTTCTTCCATTTGGAATCAGCCTTTTGATTTTTAGAACAGGTGAGTTTGGAAGCTAAGAAAAAAAATAGAGACATTCTTTTAATATGTCAATATCCTCAGTCAAAGACCACTAGGAACACAGCTGTTGGCTTTATTACTTGTTGCAGCAAGGGAGAACACACATCATGAGGGGTCACAGGGTATCTCAGTAGGAGAATGTTAGAGAGAATCTGTCCTGAGATTTGGACTTCGAGCGATTTCGGGAGGGTCTAAGGAAATGGTGCTTTGTTCTAGATTGGAAGCTGTCACAAAGTACAGTCAATTCTAATTAAATAAAGAAGTAGCTATCACTCATTTAACAAGAGAGGGGGGTGTTTGGTGTTTTGGAGGTTGCACAGTGACCTTGTTTGTGTCTGTTTTTAGACAAAATTATGAAGTGTTATTTTGTCTCATTTTATCATGGTCTCAGAGTAACCTTGTCTGAGGTTGACATTCTGTAGGATTGTTTATACCCAACAGAGAACAAAATGGCTTGACTGTGAGTATCATATAAGCTTTGGGAATTAAGGGCTGCTTTTTATCTTGTTTGGTATGGATCAGGGAGTTTTTAGAATGACTTCACTGCCATTTTGTATGCATCCCAAAGCAATCTCAATTTTCAAGATAAAAATAATCAGCATAGGTAGAGGGAGAACACTATAATTATAGAAAAGTCAACAAATAGAAAAGAAAACTTTGCAATAGATACATGGGTAAATTAGCTGGAAGACAAATGTGCACTGCCTAACTTAGAACTGACTTAAACCATGTGTTTCTCAGTTTCCCATCAAATTCCAAACCTTCTTAGTAGAATAAGTCTACTATAAAGGAGGGGAAAAAGCCTTAAAACAACAACAAACCAAATTTATATTCTTGTTGCTAAGAAAAAAGCTTGAAAGACACAGTTTTTTGCACATAAGTAATTCATATAAAACACAATTTTGATGAGCTAAGTGTAAATGAATCAGAAACATATGGATTACATTTCTTTTAAACATGGGTTTACAAATTAAGGGAAAAAGTGGTTGGTGAAATGCTTTTTGGTTTTGCCCAAACCCTAAATGTTTAAGAAACAGCTTGAGATGTTCCATGAACCCAAATGTGGTGATATTCAACCAGCTCTGTTGTAAACTCTTGTGTAAGATGACAGTTTTGATTTTTATGCCAAGCATGGGACTTTCTGAAATCCACTCTTTTCCAAAAGTATCTGTCATTCTTTCTTATGTAATTAGGTGTTTCTACTGTTTATACTGAAGAAGACAGGATGTATGTGTGTGTGTGTGTGTGTGTGTGTGTGTGTATGTGTGAGAGAGAGAAAGAAAGAGAGAGAGGTAAAGAGAGAGAAGAAGGTGCTTGATTTCCTATCATATACTATATTGCAAACCTGGATTTATTTTTATATCTCTTCAATCTAATTATTGACTTTTTTTTTTTGAGATGGAGTCTCACTTTGTCACCCAGGCTGGAGTGCAATGGCATGATCTCGTCTCACTGCAACCTCTGCCTCCCAGGTTCAAGCCATTCTTCTGCCTCAGTCTCCCAAGTAGCTGGGATTACAGGCACCTGCCATCATGCCCAGCTAATTTTGTATTTTTTTTATTAGAGATGGGGTTTCACCATGTTGGTCAGGCTTGTCTCCACTAGAGGGCTAAATTGTTGTTCAAAGGGTTTTCATATATATACACACACACGTATATATATGTATACATATATACATGTATATACATATATATGTGCATATATATACACATATATACACATATATACGTGTGTATATATATATCCAGAAATGTAGGTTTCTTAAACTACTTGTTCACAAATGACTTAGATTAATAACTTTGCATATGGACATAACATAGAACTGCCATGTTGTTCTTTTGTGCTGAAGAGCAGCAAAGACTAGACTGCAATACTGAATAGAGACGGCTACAGTTTGCAAAAGAATGACATTCCCATTCTGTGCAAGTGTAAACACATAGGCCATTTCTGAGATTACTTTTGTGCAATATGAAATTTAATTTATGAACTAATATCTAATGATAACCCAATCTGTCAGACTTGAAAACCCATTATAGAAATCATCTGTTATAGTACATATCTGTTCTGCTTCAGTTTCTTCATCTGTAAAAATGTGAGATGTGGATAATTATAGGACCTCCCTCATATTTCTATTTAATTCTGTGAAAATCCAGCTTGGTGCCTGGCACACAGTAGGTACACAGTAGGTACATAATTGGTAATTATGATGTCCGTTGTAATAAGTACTATTCATGTCTCTTCTTTGTGCTTCATTGGTAGGAGAATAACAGAGAATAAGGATAACAAACTTTCATGAGAAAACATCTCAATTTAGGTGCCTATCTGGCCTTGCCAACTGACTGCAAACGACCACAAAGCATATGCTAATGTACAGTGGTATCAAAGACCACTTCTTCCTGGATATGCTAAAAAGCACAGACACCCTCAATGGTGTCCAAACAAAGAGACATGTGAATGGTTTTTAAAAATCACAAAAACAGCAGCCTCATTCTCATTCATCTCACAGTTTATGCCACTGCCCTTTGCACCTGTCCTAGTGGTGACTCAACTGGGGCCCAGTGGGAGTTAGGCCAGTGCCAGGCCAGGACCCTCATGGAATGTATATGCTACCACTTCCTTGCCTTTTAACAAGAGCTGAAAATCAACCTCTGCGTGTTATAATTCATAAAATTAGTAGTATTGATGGTAGTGATGAAAGCATACCCAGTAAGTCAACCTTAGATTACATATTTTTCCCTCTGCTGCCCTTGTTTCTAAGTTCTTTAGTTTATAAGGATAAAAATGGGAGGGGAAGGGGACGGGGGGAGGACTGGAGTTTTCAAAACTATGATTTCTAGAAGAAACCAGTTGTGTCACTTTGTGATCCAGTCTGTGACTCCCTTAAACCTTATGGCAGTATTCAAGGTCATCTGTAATCTTATTTCTCAATATTCCTTATTCCAGGTCAAATAAATTTACTTCTCACTATTTCTTTTCACATGTCCTGAATACAAAACCTAGTCCACTTTTAATTCCTTAAAAAAATGTGGTTGTTAGACTATGTTTGCTTTTTATCAGGCATTAAATATTTCATAATGCAATCTGAAACTACCCAACAAATTCACACCCAGGCTGCACCTTTTGGTGTCTGCTCCACCCTCCACCTACAATAGTGGACCCCACCTACTCTATCAGAATCCTACAGTCCTTCAAAATCAATGTCAAATTTTACTTCTTTGGGAGACTATCCTCAATCTTTTCAGGCTGGATTTAATCTTTCTCTCCATTACATTTTCTCTTACTCTTTTTATACTTTTACTATAATGCAAATCTGAATCTAGTACTTCCCCTTGTGTTAAATCCTTAAAATCTCTTCTGTTGCTTTTCAGTGTATATTCTGGCCTCTCAAGCCCTACCCTCCTGCCTCTTATCTCCGGCATCTTTACTCATCACTTCCCCATTCTTGTGCACACTCAATACCTTGGCAGGCATAATATGTAGTATCCTTTATTGTCCCCAGGTCTTTGAATATGCTCATTGTTCTGGCTGAAATAACCTTCCTACTCTTCGTATCATCTCTTACTCCACTTTCAGATATTCAGTAGATAGAACATTCTTTCTGAAATCATTTCTAGTAGTTCCCAGAGTATAGCATTTAATCACACGCATTACAATTGGCCAATGTATTTGACATATCCTCAGTATGCTCAAGGCTTCTTTAGGGTGAAGAGAGGATTTGCCTTGTTTATTTATGGCTCTACCCTTATTGCAAATTATTATTTACTAAATAATTATAGCCCTGTGATACCCTGCATTTGTGACTCTTACTACAAAGTTCCTTGAATATAAAATTATTTGATTTTGTTTTTAATCTTTTCTGTATACCTTAGCTCTAATTCACCTGGAGATGCTTACTTTTTATTTCATTTGGCCAAATAATTTGAAGGGAGGCAATGAAGCCAGGGCTGAGCAGATAAATACTGAAGGAGGGTTAATGCTTGCGTAGTGTGTGGTAAACACAATCTTGTCTTTCTCAAAAAGTCAACTATTAGGTTGGTGCAAAAGTGATTGCAGTTTTTGCCATTAAAAGTAGCGGCAAAAATCACAATCACTTTTGCATCAACCTAATATATACAGTGCAAATGGGAAATGCACTTAACATTTTCTTTTAAAAAATCCCCTATTGTGAGTTGCTTTATTTTAGAAGCCAAATCTTGGTTTCGAGGCTCCATGTTGGCTTTTAAAGTTGCTTTTAAAACTCTTATCTCTAAAATCAGTTTGGATTTGAGTTGATTCAAGTTCAGTTTACTATTTCTGCCCCTTAAGCCTGGGGAACAACACTAGTTTCTTTTGCCCGATTCAAATGCTTATGTTGGTTGTTCTAGACATTCCTGGGCTGGGCAGGGCTGGTTAGCAGAGGTGCCATGCATTCCAAGTGTCCAGCAGCTGTTAAATCAAGTTTGGTTTTTTTTCCTTCCTTCAGTACACTAAATGTATGGAATTATCCTCTCTTACAGTCGGGACATCTTTGTTGCTGTCACGTAAGTAGGCACAGTAAATATAAATGGAAAAGAATAAACTCCCTCTGGTAGGTCAACAGGTCCGTTCAGTAGAAATTAAGAGAAAGTTTTACCGCATCAGCCAGCATCTGCTGCTGGAGAAGAAGCTGCTGTTTCTGCTCCATGATCTGCCTCTGTAGAGTCTGCTTCTTTCCCATCAATTGCTGATTCAACAGTGATTGCTGGGAGTTCATGTAACCACTTCCAGTGTTTGGATTTGAGCAGGGGTTGGGACTTGGACTGGGGCCTGTGTTCTGGCCTACCACAGAGTGTTGATCCTAAAGAAGAGAAAGGGGGAAGGAAAAGCTACTGTGAATTAAAAAAAGAAAAATGTAACACAAAGATCATACACTCAGATTCCAAACATTTTTGATCTTATTGAAGATCAAACATGGTTAAATGGGTTGGAGATCAGAGAATCGCTTTTTAAATGTAGAAGAAATAATTGCATATCACAGCAACCAAAGCAGCTGGGTTAATGACATTAGGGCACTGGAAAACTCCCATAGGACTCTGATGGTGGAACCTCCACATTCCAGAAGGTGTTTATGGAACCTCAAAGAAAACTACCATAAAAACATATGGCAAACCTCTCAATTTCTCAGGAATAAACATCATAACCTAACAGAACCTTCCTTTTCCCAAAGTTAGCATGTATCATTGCTGATCCTGCAATGAAAATCATGTTTTAATTCATGTGTTTAAAAGTTGAAACCATTTTAGACAGAAGGCATTTTGCCTTACCCAGCTTTCTGTGACAGAGAGGCAGGAAGGCCTGTAAGTGTCTGTTTTATAAACTCAAACTTGGAAAGAACTTCATTTCTCAGGGACTTGTAAATTTTATTCCCCAGTCAACAATTCAGGTATCTTGGCACAAGAATCTCAGTAAAAGAATACCCGACACACTGATAATGAGAAAATATTGATTAAAAACTCAATTGTATATCAAATAATATTGGGTATTGGTGAACTGCCTTTCTAATTTGAGGTCTCTACCAATTTTTTGGCATTGACAGATCAGGACTCTGCAAGACAGTAAGCTAAACCCAGTTGAATATTCTCATTAATTCCCAGTGATGTATTTAGGATTGAGCTCTGCACTAGTACACTAGTAGGGTTATAAGAAGACTAGAAAATATGGTTATCACCTTAGAGAATTTATCACCCAAGTGAGGGAGAAATGCTTACGTGTATAAACACAAGAAAATGCAAAATCAAATTTTAGATTATATGATATAAACAGTAAGTCAAAAATTGCTATACTTTGATTAGAATGATCTGGGAATAAGCTTATAAGGCAGATGCCCTGGACTTGTCCCAGGGATTCTGAGGCTATAGATCAGGGTACCTCCTTAGGTCATTCTGATACTCATTGGTCCAGGGAATATGCTTTGGGAAACACTGAATACATGGGAACAAAAGAAATCCAACTCTCTTTTTTTTTTAAGAGACAGAGTCTCACTCTGTCACCCAGGCTGGAGTGCAAGTGGCACAATCATGGCTCACTGCAGCTTCAACTTCCCAGGCTCAAGCAATCCTCCCACTTCAGCCTCCTAAGTAGCTGGGACCACAGGCGTGCACCACCTGGCTAATTTTTAAATTTTTTGTAGAGATGGGGTGGCTAATGTTTACATTTTTTGTAGAGACAGAGTCTTATTACGTTGCTTAGGTTGGTCTCAAACGCAAGGGCTCAAGTGATCCTAGATCCTTGGCCTCCCACAGTGCTAGTATTACAGGCATGAACCACCACACCCAGCAAAAAAAATCCAGCTGTCATTCACCAACTAAACTGTGTGAGGTTACAAGACATAAAAACATAAAACAGGCAGTTGAGTGTAGTGGCTCATGCCTGTAATCCTAGCACTTTGGGAGGCCGAGGTGGGTGGATCACCTGAGGTCAGGAGTTTGAGACCAGCCTGGCCAACACGGTTAAACCCTGTCTCTACTAAAAATATGAAAATTAGCCAGGTGTGGTGGCACATGCCTGTAATCCCAGTTACTCAGGAGGCTGACGCATGAGAATCACTTGAACTCAGAAGGTGGAGGTTGCAGTGACCCGAGATTGTGCCACTGCACTCCAGCCTGGGCGACAGAGCGAGACTCTGTCTCAAAACAAAAACAAACAAACAAACAAAACCACAAAGCAACTCCCATGATACCACATGAGTAGTGGTAGTAGGTACACCATCTGTGGAAATTCTCTTCTCTTTTATTTCTTTCTCTTTCTTTATGTGCCGAGCTGAAATAAATAAATAAGTAAGCCACACTCCGAAAGCCTTGGCCTTTTGTAATCTCTGGGGCTACAGAGCTCACCTCAAAAGCAAAGGGTTACAAAATAATCCTAAGGGCGACCATCCACTGAGGCTTATTATCAGTCAGTCACTGTGGTCAGTGCTTTACATGATTTATCTCATTCACTCCTCCCAACAAAACAATGAGCAAGAACTTGTATTATTAACCCAACTTTGCAGATGAGCAACCTGAGCTCAGAGAGATCACATAGCTGTAAGTGGCCAAGGAGGATTTGAAGCCAGGTCTGTCTGACCCCACGACTCTAGTTCTCAATCAGTATACTTTACTGCCTGTCACCTGAGACAGGAAGCAGAGAGAAGAAAGATTTTTGTACTTTAAACCTGGACCAACCCATCACTTCATGCAGCATTCTTCCCAGGGTTGAGCACCCTCAGGTCAGGAAGGTAGAAGGAAGTGTGTTGGAGAGGACAGGGGAGTGAGGACAGGGTGGGGAGATCCTCTTCACCAGTTAGTAAAAAATAATCACAGCCATCTCTGAGGTACACCCATGGAGCAGCTTAAGGAAACCATCCTCTAATATATTTACACCCCTATGACCAGTCAGTTCTTTCAACTTTAAATCCATAATGAATTTTGGAGAAGATTTTACCCCCTGTGTTCTATAAGCCACTAGGAACGTGGGCTTGGAGACAAGCACTTAAGAGTCATTGACAGAATAGCAGGAGATGAGGATCTGTGAGCTCAGTGTCTTGGAGGGCAAAAGGAGGAGAAATACATGGAGGATTGGGGACTGGGCCTTTGGGTGCACCCTGACTAAGGACAGGGAAGCAGAGCCTGTGACAGGGGAAAGAGGCAGGATCAGGGAAGTGTAAAGACAGCTGGAAGTGGTGGGGGAAGACATCAAGGTGGGAGAGAATGTATTGGAGATGGTAGTTTGCTTTCTACTCTCCACTTGAACCAGAATAGAAAGAGTCTGCTCTTTTCTTTGATATAGTTTGGAGTTTTACGCAAGACTTTCAAAATAAGATTTTGTGGTTTCTTTTGTTTGTTTGTTTTGGTTTGGTTTTGGAAGTAGCTGACAAGCATAGGTAGAAAAATTCAAAACACTTTTCTTTTCATCTTCTTTTCCTTGCCCTGCAATGGACGAGACCATAAGCTCTGGAGATAAGTCCACCTTGTTTCATATCCCAGTTCTGACACTTAGTTGTGTGGTGTGGCAGAAGTTAATTCACCTCCCTAAGCCTCAGTTTTCTTATCTGTAAAAAGCAAATAATAAGAGTATGGATGTCACAGGTTCCCTACAAGAATTAGGGGAGATAATCCAATACCTATTACTAAACAATAGCTGCTCATAATTATTAAAGTTAATTCTACACATAGGAACAATAGTCTGTTTTCGTTTGTTTTCATTGTGAAACAAAGGAGATAGAACTCGCAGACTACAGAAAGCCGTTCTGTGTCAGGTCTCTCTGAAATGTAGAGGTCTCAGTTATATTGCAGATTATGAGCCACCCAGGGATTTGGGAAATTACTTTCATCCTCCTACTTGAAGATGCCAGAAGATGGGTGGGGTATCATTCTCTGATGGGCTGTCTTTTGGGATATGCTGCTTTCTTGCTTAGGGGCTTAACTCAGGTCTCTGTTAACTTTGCTCTTTGCTGTTCTGGTTTTTATTCTCTTAACATCCAATTATTTATGCATAGTGCAATCATGTACATTTACTAAGTACCATGCCTTAGTTTCCTCATTTGCAACATAAAGGTAATATATTAATTACCTAACATTTGACAAGATGAATTTTAGAACAGTACCAGGGACTTAGTAGAGATGTTTGATACACTTTAACTATTATTATTTTGTTATTTCTGTATTTTTAAATATTAGAAAGATGTTTTATATCCAATGAGTCTTGTGAAGGAGCTCACACTGTACGTGTACCTGGACTACAGATGTGGTGTGTTTGGCCCCCATTGTGTTTGAAACACAAATTGCTCTTTGTGCTCTCCAGTTGGCCACAGCAGCCTCTACTACTCCTTACTTTATTATACCCACCCATTTTCCTCATTTCTATCACTTGCCTGGTCCATGTAGGCCATTTGAGTTTAAGATCTCTGGCATACAGTTCATCTGGAAAGATAAGCTACACATACCACACACTCCACATATCCACTCACCCAAAGTTATGATAACAAAAAGCAATCATTTCCATTAGGTGGTATGACACCTACTAGTGTCTTAAGATTAAAACCCAGATCACGGCACACATTTACCTATGTAACAAACCTGCACATCCTGCACATGTACCCAGGAAATTAAAAGTTGAAGGAAAAATCAATCATTCAATCAATCTCAGATCACCTGATGCCTAGTCACCCATGAATCCATCAATCCATTAATGAATTTGACAAAGTATACTGAATGTCTACTCTGTGCTAGGCAGGTTTTTATTCTCTACAGACCAAAATGTATTTAGAAATGGGGAAAATGAGGAGAAAGAAAAGAGGTAGACAGAGTGCTCAATGTTGGCAGAATTGATGAACTCCAAAATAACTTCCAGAGAATTCTGGAAAACCACCCTTTTCTAAGATTTATAAAAGATCTGCATGCCAGGAAAATGTAACTATGTCTCTTTCTCTCCCCTAATCAAACAGATAGACTGTGCTAAATATAGTTTCTTTCCTTCATGGTACCAAAAGATACTTTGGGACCCTTTTCCCTTAGGGTCTGAAGGGTTTTCCAAACTTGAAACTAGTGCTGGGGTGAAGGGAGGTGACTTGGTATGGAGGAAAGAATAAGAGATAAACTCTTTCTTGGAATTTTGTAAAATTTTTAAAAATCTTATAGTTCCTAGCTCATGGGTTTTACCACATACCTACTACATACATTCTTTGCATTCATGATTGAAGTAATATTTGGCTGCTCTTGCATTTTTTTTGCCCGTATGTTTGCTGTAAAACACAAAACACCTCCTTATACAAGCTTGCTGTCATTGCCAACACGTTGTGCAAACTTTAGTACATAAAAT